GGAAAATCCGGCCCTGGGCACAGGGATTTTGATGGACCATTTCGCTCACTGGTTTCACTTCTTTCTCTGAAGATCACTGCTGAACGTTCATTGTAGGTTTCCTTCCCACTTCTCATCCCTGACAAGAAGGAGAAGGCAAAGCTGCCACCATAATCAGAGTTAGGTTTCCTTCCTTCTGTTTTCCAGAGTGGATGACAGAAGGAGCTGAATTTCATTGATGCCGGAAACACTCAAGGACAAGACATCAATTTCTTCTTCCTTCTGCACTCTGTCTGTTCCTTAAATTATGTCAAGATAACAAAGGTGGCCAACCCAATATCTGCGAGACCGCCTCCTGCCACATACCTCCCAGCGTCCGATAAGATCACACAGGATGGGCCTTCTCCGGGTGCCGTCGATTAGACAATGTCATCTGGCGGCTCCTCGGGGGAGGGCCTTCTCTGTAGCTGCCCTGGCCCTATGGAATGATCTACCCCCAGAGATCTGGACCCTCCCCACTCTCTCGGCCTTCCGAAAGTCTACTAAGACCTGGCTGTTCCAGCAGGCCTGGGGCTGTTGACCTCATGAACGAGGTCCAGCACCACTAAGGTTGAGTGTATGATGTGTCTTTTTAATTTGTCTTTCTTTATTTTAAATTTTTTAGTATCCTTTTTAGAATTATTTTATGTAAGCCGCCCGGAGTCCTTTGGGATTGGGCTGCATATAAATTTATTAAACTTTGAAACTCATATCTGCCTTCCAGCCCCCAGGAGCACTCTGCAAGGCTCCTAAAGGCTACGCATGGCCATTTTGGTGAAGGGGGCAGGGTTTCAGGAGGGAAAAATGCTGAATTCAGTGTATAAGACGCACCCAGATTTTCGGCTTCTTTTTTGAGGGAAAAAGGTGTGTCTTACACTCCGAAAAATACGGTAGTTGGAACTCAAGTGATCTAGAAGGGGACAGACTGCCTTAATATGTCAACTTTACCCTACTTACTGGATAATTGAAACATATTTTGAAGAATAATCAACAATTTATCTAGTGATATATTCACAAACCATGTTCTAAAATAGAAAAGTATTTTATTAAAATAAATGTATATATAAAAATATAATTTTGACAAATAAATAAATTTGTTTTTTACCAAAAGTACATCAATTTGCTTTTCAGGAAACCCACAAAAATACTGATATTCCAGCCAAAATGTTCAATTGCGCCATAAATATATTTTAGCAATAAATAGCCTAGAATTGTATAATGCCCAACATTAAATAACCTAAAAATGCATACTGACTTTGAATAAATTTTATTAATTGTTCAATGGAATAGATTAGGTTGTATATGAGTCTTTGTTGACATGGAATTCATTTTTAAGGTGTGTTGAACCCTTTCTAATTGTTGTTCTATAAATAGACATCCTCCCAGTTGGCTCTTGCAATTTTTTTTCAGGGATGTTTTTATAAATCTATATAGCTTTGAAGCTTATAGAAGAACACTGGTGGTTCAGGTAAAAGAGCAGCCATTTAGTTTCCACAATGGCTGTACTCTGATATGAATTTCCTGATAAATTTGTATGTGCAGGCATTTCAAACCTAAGTGCAGATATTTAAAACACAGCCCAAAATAAAACAATCATCTTAAGAAAAACCCTATAGGACCTGTATTTTAAACTTAAAATAAGTTTGGTGATATCAAATGACTTATTATTTTGTTTTAGGGAAATGAAGATATTCTTTTGCCAGGTCAAAGGTTCTATCATGAAGGTACGTTTATAGAAAATCAGTCATTGCTACAACAAATTGCTATTGTTTGAATGTAATAAATGAGTAAGAATATATTTGTTACATTTCTCAATTAGAGGAAGAGAAAGAGCATGGGGACATTGTGATAGCCTTATATATTTATGAAGGCATGCATGAAGATGACCTGTCTTTCAAAAAAGGAGAAAAAATGAGAATTATGGAGGAGTAAGTATAGAAGTCTTATCCTACTTTTATTTACTTCTATGTAATCATGAGGTTAGGGGTATGCTCAGCAATTAGACTGGCCATTTTCATTCCAGTAGACCAAAGCTGTTTAATATTATTAAAATCATGAAGGTAAGAATTGTGCTGGGTAAAAACTGAGAAGGACTGTATTTATTGGCCATGAAGTTCATAAGATGTCGACTGTCGTTCACCTTAACCTGTTCTGACCAGCTGGACAATTGGAAGGGTGTAATAAAAGGATTGTTGGAACACCTACAACCCCTGTATACTTTCAAATTCAATCTCTAGATGTCTTATTGAAGTTAGAAGTTCAAAAGCAGATGTCCTACAGTTTTTCAAGAGAGTTTTTGTTCCCATTTTCCCCCATTCAAAATATTTGTTTTTAGTATTAAATATATAATACTAAAACATACATACATCTATATAGCCATAGCCATTAATAGCTGTGTAATATTTGTTTCCATTTAAAAGTTCCATGTTTCTTCTCTGCTCATGAAATGTTGCTTTAGTAATATTAATCAATAACTGAATTTAAACATTCTTGGGATAAACAGATGTCCATCATCCAACAAAAAATAAAATAAAATTAAACAAAATTAAAAACCGCAAAGGCAGATGAGTGAACCCCTGGATCTTTTTCTGCCATCAGAAAAATAAAAACTACCAATATCTAAAATATTGTGAATTTTTTGTTACATTTTTTAAAAGAATCACTTTCTGTGGTGGCTGACCTCAATATGCTGACCTATATATTTCTTTTAATTATTCAATCATCTAAAACTGCATGATAAGCAATACTAGTTTTGGAAGTTAATGCAGGGTTTAATATGCATTAGGTTTCAAACCAGTTTTTATTCCTAACATAGTTAACAGGTAACATGCTGGGCATACTTTGGCACCCTTCTAAACCATTTATCTTTAGCCATGAAAGGAAGATAAGTGCTTGGATCCCTGGCTTAGCTTTCTACCCACCCTGCCTGAGAAAGTTATTACAGGCAAATGAAGATCTCTTTCTTTATCAAATTCATACACCTACACCAAAGGAGACTATGGGTGGTATACAACAAATGGATAAAACCACATATAAAAGAACCATAGATGTAAAAAGATATAAAAATCACATTTACAGTAACCTTATAAAAACAGAGATATAGGCTCTTGGCAAAGAGGGGATAAAAACAGCCAGCTCAACAATTAAGCCACCTAAGGATGTCTCTGATACTGGTATCTTAGTGTGCCTTACCATCAGAGAATAAGATTACTTCTGTCATTGAAAAAATATATATTTTGTACAGGTAATCTTCAATTTACGATCTTTTCTTAACAAGGATTTAATGTTACGACAGTGCCCACAAAGGCTACTTACCACCCATTTTATGAAATTGTGGTGACCAGATATATTCCCATGGTCATATCAGCATCCTGCAGTCACATGTGATTTGTGATTTGTGCCGATTTTCTCATTCCAATTGCAGGAGTCATTTAACAAACACCACAAAAAATGTTGAAAAATTGGGGATCTGGTTACATGATGCCTAAATTTATGACCACTACAACTTAATGACAGTAATTCTGGGTTATAAGTTGAGAACTACCTATGATTTACTTACATCTATAGTTAAACAAAGCAATTAGTGTATTCTGCATTAATAAGCCCTAAATGAGGCAATTATTTCAATGTATGTGATTCATGCCAAAGCATTAAATCTGGATTGGTATGATGTCTGAACATAGTTATTATTTACTTCAGTTTAAATGTAAGTTTCTTTGAATGCTACAGGTTGATCAGTAATGTCTTCTTTACAAAAATAACAGTGTTTATTTTACTCATTTTTTTAGACATGGTGAATGGTGGAGGGCTAAGTCCCTTGTAACTAAGAAAGAAGGATTTATCCCAAGCAATTACGTTGCAAAAGTCAATACCTTAGAAACAGAAGAGTAAGTTTCTTATCTTTTAAAGATTTGATTTCCATTGCTTTTTTCATGTTTGGGTAACAATAATAATATGTTTTTAAAATAATGCTTTTCAGATGGTTCTTTAAAGACATAACCAGAAAAGATGCAGAAAGGCAACTTCTAGCTCCAGGAAATGCTCCTGGAGCATTTCTGATCAGAGAGAGTGAAACATTAAAAGGTAGGTTTTCTAGATTTCATTGAATCTGAAAATAAATTCCATTTTCTGTCTTAAAATTCTTAAATGTTTATGATTTAAATTGATGCTTCCTTCCTTTGATTTATATGGCTGCCTGACTTAACAAAAGAACTTACAGTTGGACAGTAGCATAAAAACAAAACAGGGAATAATACTAGAACAGAATAGCAAAATGATCAAGATCAACAAATGCACAATCCATTTTAAAGATCCTTTTTTGGACAGAATCATCTTAAACTCAGGCCTACTGCCCAGTGAAAGCCAGGTTTTCAGGGCCTTAAAGGAGAGCAGACTTGTAGCCATCTGTTCTGATATCACAGAAGCTGCCACAAAGAAGAAGAAGTCAACTATACTCCAAAGCACTGTGTGCAGGACAAAAAGCAATGGGAGGAAATTAATGAAGAAGAGAAGCAACTTAGAACTAAGGAGAAATTTCCTGACAGTTAGAACAATTAATCAGTGGAACAACTTGCCTCCAGAAGTTGTGAATGCTCCAACACTGGAAGTTTTTTTTTTTAAATTAAATGTTTTTTAATTTTAGTTTAAAACGGGTACAGCATCTTTCTTAATATATCAATCAATTACAGATAAGTTTTGGTACATCTCCTCCACAGTCAACCAACATAACTCATATTAACTCAAGCATTATTATATATCCATTTTCATTTAACTGTAATTATTATTTAGAAATATTGGTAGGAGTAATAATCTTGAACAATACCTACCCACACCGATGGGAAGGGAGAAAAATAAAAAAAAAAGAAAAAAGAAAAAAGGACAAATAGAAAATAAAAATTAAAATAAAAGATAGTAAATAATACAAAAAAAGACAAAAACGACAATCAGGAAAACAAAACAAAACACAGGTGTCTATTATGAAAAAAAAAAGAAGTATATCAACTGGTTACAACATGTTTTGGTGCTTCTCTTCCGTTAATTCATATTAATTCAAATATCTTAAACACTGGAAGTTTTTAAGAAGCTATTGGATAACCATTTGTCTGAAGTGGTGTAGGATTTCCTGACTAAGTAGGGGGTTGCACTAGAAGATCTCCAAGGTTCCTTCCAACTCTGTTATTCAATTCTATTCATCTGAATCTTAAGAGGACTGTGACAGAGAAGGCATGGGAGCTGGATTCTGCCAGGTAATATAAGAAGGGACCTGAAGCATGCCTGCCTGCCAGCTATCAAAGATGAGCGGAAACACAAGTGACTCATAAATAACATGGCTGTGTACACAATGGTACATCAAGTTGTTTTAATAATTATTCATACAATAATATTTTTCCTAGGTATAAGGCAGCTTTATATAGAGCATGTTGCATTAGTGCATATGAGAGGCGATTAAGACATGATTGTCCCCCAATCTGGGAATGTATGGAATTTAGTATCTGAAAGAGCCTCCTGGCTATCTCCTGTTTCAGCAAACCAAGAAGACCATAAGAGGATCCTCAAACTGTGCTCCAGTTCTGTCTGAGGGAATACAATTTTATGCAGAACTGAAGGAGGATGGGGGAATGTCCCTAGAACTGGGGATCCCAAAATTCACTGTATGACTATAGTTTGGGTAGAACAAAGGCTGTTCTTTGCCATTCAACTCTCCAGAGTTTCTAGAAATTGGGAAGGAGCCTAAGGAGTATGACTTGGTTGCTCTAGGTTGGAGTTATATAATTGGATATCATCAGTAGTGATGATATCTGATCTTATACCTACTGGCTTCCCTAGCTATTAAATACGGGTGGAGAGAGAGTACAAGCCTAAGGAACCCATAGAAGGAGGAAAATGTTAAATTTACCTCCATCTCCACCAGATGCCAGCTCAGCCATACGATTGTGATTTTGGGGTTTGTGTTGTATGAAGAAGAGGAAAGTGTTTAAAGGAAAAAGATAATTATGATTCTATTTTACATTCGTTTGAGACTCTTATTAAAGTCAAATTCTACCACTATTCAGCTATTAACATAATGTGATTGTTCACATTTGTAAGAAATGCAATTGGAATGAGTGATACTGTGGGGAACATAGTTTTTAAGATGATTAACTATAGCAGGAAAATAGAAGCAGAGTCCTATGATTATTTTCCTTGTTCTGAATCATTGTTTGTTTGGACAAGTGTCAGAATTGTTCACCCAGGAAAAGTGTTTGTTTTTTAAAGAAACATTTTTAAAAACAAATGAGAATACTAATAAGCCTATTTTTCTAAAGTAAATATTGTTTTATTGCAACTTGTTTGGTAGACATCAGAAAAATATCAATTTAATGGATCTAGTCTTTGTTGTCTTACTGTAATGGTAGATAGCAATGACCTTGAGAGATGGAGGAAGAGAATCCTTCAGAACAATGTTCAGATATGAGGCAATAAGCATGCAGAAGGGATATGCGCAAGACAAACATCTCAAAAAGGAGCCTTCCTACCGTGTTTTCCCAAAATAAGACAAGGACTTATTTTCTTTTGACCCCCAAAATTAGCACTTGGCCTTATTTTCTGGGAGGTCTTTTTTTTTTTTTTTTGAAGTGCAGGAGGTGGTGAGCGTGGTCACCTCATGGCAGCTGCTATGTTGTAATATTTTCAGGGAGGGCTTATTTTAGCGCATGAGCTTAAAAGCCCGACTGGGCTTATTATCTGGAGTGGTCTTATTTTCAGGGAAACAGGGTAGTATTTTGGGTTTTGAAGGCAATGGGGGAGTAACATACTTTGAGACTTGCAATATTATTTTAATACAACCTTACAATAGAATAGAAGTAGTACTTCTGGGTGGGCTTCTTGTATGGACTATCTTAGAAAGCTGACACAGTTTAATCTTTTCTTGATTAACATTGTTTATAAGTTATTATTTGAAAGATAGCAACCAACTGGCAATTATTTTATGGTTTACTGTTGGTTTTGTTCTGCCCACAGGAAGTTATTCATTATCAATAAGAGACCATGATGGACAAAATGGTGATGTTGTTAAGCACTACAAAATCAGAAGCTTAGACAATGGAGGCTATTACATTTCTCCAAGAATCACTTTTCCCTGCATCAGTGATATGATCAAACATTATCAAAGTAAGTCAGCAGATTTTCTCAAGTACCTATAAAATACTAGCCAAGACTGAAAACATATGCATTTCACATTCAAATATATTTTGACGTGCACGATAAATTGTGTCAAGGGTGAACATCATTATAAATCCAGGAAAATTCTCAGAAGTGAGAAGATTAAAATAATCAAAAGGCATATATCAACATGAAACAAAGATAAGCTAAATGCAGATTGAGGAATATCAAATTGGTTTGAAACAGAACACCTTTCAGATTATCAACATTGTAATTATTTGTATAACCTTGTGGCAGTCTTGTGAACATATTTGCTGTGGGAAAGAAAACCACAGTTGATAATGTTTTATGTAGATATCTTCAGATCTTTCTTTTCCCTTTATGCCTATCTTCACCACTTTGTCAAGCTATATCTGATTACTATGCCTTAAATACTGTTCCATGTTTCTTTGAATATATCATGCATGGCAAATCTCTATGTTTAGTTAAAAATCCAAACATTAATTTCATATTTCTAAGTTTGAATATCATGGCTGATATAAGCAAAAAGTTCTGCTTTATCTGTTATAATTAGCAAAATATATTTCACTAGATATTCATAAATGAATAAAGTAAAACAAAGTTTACTGAAATGCACGCATGCATGTATTATCAACCATTAACAAAACTTTCCAGTTTTATAATTAACTAAGCAGTTGTAATCAGAATACTTCTTATTAATGGCGCAAGGTAGTATTTCATCAAGTAAATTGAAAATTGAAACTAAGAAACCCTGGATAAGTACACATAGTTCTAATGTAATTATCCCCATATAACCTTTTGCAGCTGTATCCCAGGATCACACTAATTTTACTGCCCAGAATCTGTGGCATTAAAAATTAATTCTATCCTGTACAAAGAAAACACAGGTATACGGTCTCTTAAAATTTTCAATGATACATAAATATAGGATGTTTGTTTCTTAAACAGAGCAAGCAGATGGCTTATGCAGAAAGCTAGAGAAAGCATGTATCAGTCCTAAGCCACAGAAACCATGGGATAAAGATGCCTGGGAAATCCCTCGAGATTCAATCAAATTAGTGAAAAAACTTGGAGCGGGTCAATTTGGAGAAGTTTGGATGGGTAAGGTACTCATATTAAATAAAGAATTTCTCAGAATTTCTTATAACATGTAAATTAATAGTGGAATTCAAAATATTTTACTACCGGTTCTGTGGGCATGGCTTGGTGTTTGTGGCATGGTTTGGTGGGCATGGCAGGGGAAGGATACTGTAAAATCTCCATTCCCTCCTGATCAGCTGGAACTCGGAAGCCTGAGAATAGATGGGGGCGGGGCCAGTCAGAGGTAGTATTTAGTGGTTCTCCGGACTACTCAAAATTTCCGCTTCTGGTTCTGCAGAACTGGTCAGAACCTCCAACCACTATTCTCCATTGCTTACTCATAGTCTCTTAGGAAAGCAATTTGTTTCTCAACTATTAATTATTTTTTCAGAATCACGTGGGTGGGAGTAGAGGGAGAAGTTTAATTTGATACTTAATTGTTGTGAACCTAGGCAGCAGTAAAGAGTGATCTTGCTGGCACTTCTTGTAAGCATAATTACTGGTACAGGATTTCTTTTAACAGTCAAGAAACAATGATGTTGATCAGCATCATTGAACTGAGTGATCATGTAAGAAAAGAGAGATTACAGAAGGTGTCAGAGAATGTGTATGTCCTTTTCCCAACATCCCTCAAATAATTGTCAAAAAATCCAGTATGGTGCCGGATTCCCAGATGTCTCAGCTCCTAAGGTCAAGAGTAAGCCAAATCGGCCTTTGTTATTGTCCAATTACCCTGAACATTTATTTGGTCAGAGAATATAGAAAAAACTATTTGCTCATATTATGAAACTGTGCTTTATGCAGTACTTGGAAGATAATGCTGGGTAGCACAGAACAAATCTTGGCTGACTTCAGTTGCATGGTCAAGTTTCCATTTGCCCGCTCACTGAATGACTGCCTCTCTTTTCAATTTAGGAACCCATCTTCATATGGCCAGGCCTTCATTTCCCATCACAGGGATGACTGATTTGTTAATTTAATATAAGACATGCAGATAAAATATGCTTGTCAGGCATCATCTTGGGATGTTTGATCTTTAGTACAGCCATACCCAAAATTCTGCAAAATGAATGAACATACTGTAAGTTAGGAAAGTGTTGTCATCTGCAAAAGGAAGAACCGATTTCAGGAAGTTATGTTCCTGCATCTTTACGTAAAAAAGAAAGGGAGGGCGTTTCTGGTTCAAGATGTTTCCTCTTGTTTATGTAGCCACTTTGACATCTAAATTTGGCATACTGTAACCCTTTAAGTAACTGCTAGACAATGACAAGATTACGGCACTGAGGAGCCAAACTACATGTTGCTCATGTCTGCCAACATGCAAATTAGCTTGTCATATACCTCATATAGAAATGTCCTGGAACTGATCACAATTAGTCTGTGGATTTCAGTTTTCTTTGTCTTTCCAAAAGGACATGTTTGTTTGCTCCCTAATGATTTTAGTGTGGCAAAGAAATCCAAGACAGTTAATGAAAGGGAGATACTAAAGTATAATACTAATCCTTTATTATGTTTTTAATTGTATAGAAGAATAACTTTTTTAACCCAGTAATCAAAAACAGCAAAGAATCTCACAACATTTTAGATCCTGAACTATATTATAACATGTCTCATGGATAAGAGAAAACTCTATTTCATTAGATAGTATCTGCTTTAGGGAAAAAATACATGCAAAAAATATATGTGCACTCAGGAATACATCCTATGATTTTTATGGGAATTGATCATACAGAAAAGGAGACAAGCACTCTGATAAAATTTATGCACAACATAAAATTCAAATTAAACTTTTAAAAACTTTGGAACAAAAATGCATCTGAAATCAAATTTTGTTATCCCATTAGCACTACCCAGAAGTTTCAGACTTAAAATCAATCAGTTTACTTGAGTGGCCATGGGCCTAACTCATTAACTGGGACAAGTTAATATATGCATCTTTGTATAATTTTGAGGAACAGATAAATAAATAAATAAAATTATATCTTTATTTAACTTCCTAATATAAAAGAAATTAAATGTATACAGTTTTTTTCCTGGACTTTTCTGATACCATTAAATATGAATTTGTCATGAGTATTATATTCCTCCTTGTGGTTTAGGTATAAGATTCAGCTATTTAAGAGATAAAATGCTATTGTAGACCCATTCATCCCCAAATTTTCTATAGTGATGATTTGGAAGTATAGATACAATAAAACAGCAGCATCTTTTTTCTATATCGCATTGAAGCCTGAAAAAAAGTTGCTTCAATGAGTAACAAACTTTGCATTTAGTAAATGCAAGATTCAAATTTCTTCTTTCAGCTCAATTAACATGTGAGAAACACCAGGCTGGATGAGGTTGGATTTTTGCATATACAGCATAGTAAAAAGTGTCATGTCTAGATATTTAAGTAGATTTGTATTAATGAAATATAAATAATAGTAATTAATTTTGATTCATCTTATCAATTTCATTCTAGGTTATTATAATAACAATACCAAAGTGGCAGTTAAAACTTTGAAACCTGGTACTATGTCCGTCCAAGCATTCATGGAAGAAGCCAACCTGATGAAAACACTTCAGCATGACAAGTTGGTCAGACTATATGCTGTAGTCACCAAAGAAGAACCTATTTACATTATAACAGAATTTATGGCAAAAGGTATGCATTATTAAATGTGATATCAAAAATATTATTTATTGATAGTCATTGATCTGAAGTAGAGAATCAATCTACATTAATTTCTGAATCTTGGCAGAGATTTTCATCCTGGAACGGGGTTCTTTTCTGGACAAAATTATCCTTTATAAATTAAAGTAAATTAAAGTTCACAATTTGTACTCATCTATAATGGTCCAAATTCAGTCACCTGTGGGTTAATCAGTGAAGCATAATCTGAAATTGCATACTTTAGCAAAATCTGGAAAACTAGATGATCAGAACACTTGTGTTTTATTTGTATTTTTTGCCAATATACTTGCTTTATCCACACAGGAAGCTTGCTGGATTTTCTGAAGAGTACAGAAGGGACAAAATTACTACTACCAAAGCTCATTGATTTCTCAGCTCAGGTAAAAAAAACCTAGATAAAAATTTAAGAAGTGTTCTTGTTTCTATAGTAAAATAATAGATCTATGTGACTAGATTAAAGTATATAAACTGTTACCGAACTACACAGTATAATAGGATGTAACTGGGCTCAACTTGTTTACATAAGCATGTAAAAGTATCCCTTGAAAACCATAATTATGGTTTATCAACAAAGTTAGTATTATTATGTAAACTCCAGTTTAATTATGAAGCAGTAATTAATTGTGTTCATAGAGCTTTGAAGCATTCCAAATTGTTGTCTGGGCTTTTCTGATGTCATGAAATAAGTATTCATATCCTAATTTCAAGGACCAACATAGCAGGAAAAAGGTTTTTTTTTTCTACTTCAGAACAGTTCTTGCAGTGCTTAGGTTTTTACGATGACTGTTTAGTACTACAAAAGAGAATACAAGAAATGCCAACTACGTGTGAATTTGACTTCCCAAGAAGACTCATTGTTGTTCTCATTTATGAACTTGAAAAAAGAGAATTCTAGCCCTATAAAGACTAATATTTGGATCACTGTGAAAAACCATTAGGAACTAAATTTCTTTAGCCATGTAAATGCATTGTCCAGGTGATTTCAAGCCAATTTAGAAAAAGGAGCAGAAACTAGGCTCCTTTCAAGTGAAGCCAAGGCCTATAGTTTTTCATCTTCCTCACTTTCTTTCTCATTAAATAAAATAATAACTAGCCAGCATACATTACTATCTTGTTAGATATTAACTTCAAAACCTAGCATAGTGGAACTAGCTTCTGGTAGTTTTCAATTAAAAATTATGATTGTGTTTAGGCCAGTATATACCACAGATTAAAATACTATATAATGGTATTCTGTCTAACAAGTAAGCTTTGACCTTGAACTTAATTTTCTGTTGTAAAAATTTAACCTAGACTAATTTAACATCAGCAGCATTTTATATCTCTCTTTAAAATTGGGGTTTTTTTTATAAAAAAAAATCCCATTGCAGTGAATTATTTTCTGTGGACATTCCAGCATTGTTTTCAAAAACATTATAAATCATATTTTAAATTTAGAATCATACATTTTCATTTTTTATTTTAAATCTAAAGAATATTTCTCATATTTTAAAAAAAAACATTCAGCAACTACAACGGTTAGAATGAGAAGTGCCACAAATATTTTTCCATTACCTGACCTCAAAAAGAGGAACAAAAAGAGAATACTTTCTCTTTTTACATATACTTATCTGTTTTTAAAGAGTATACAGGCACCTATTTACAGTATTACAGTTTTTGTGTTACTGAAATTCAGCTTCAACTTAGGTTAACTGTGACTTCCAGTGACTTTGTTTATTCAAGTTCAAGTTCTTGTTTCATACTCTATATGACTTGACTAATATGCCAGATTAAGATAGTTTGGGCCTATTTGGTGCACATGCACTTAATACAGCCCTGGAGTTCTCTCATACGCTATATTGCCAAAAGTATTCGCTTACCCATCCAAATAATCAGAATCAGGTGTTTCAATCACTTCCATGGCCACGTGTATAAAATCAAGTGCCTAGGCATGTAGACTGTTTTTACAAACATTTGTGAAAGAATGAGTCGCTCTCAGGAGCTCAGTGAATTCCAGCGTGGAACTGTGATAGGATGCCACCTGTGCAATAAATCCAGGCGTGAAATTTCCTCGCTCCTAAATATTCCACATTCAACTGTCAGCTGTATTATAAGAACGTGGAAGTCTTTGGGAACGACAGCAACTCAGCCACGAAGTGGTAGGCCACGTAAACTCGTCTAACATCAGAGTGTGACCTCACAAATGTGCTTCTAGAAGAATGGTCAAAAATTCCCATAAACACACTCCTGAACCTTGTGGACAGCCTTCCCAGAAGACTTGAAGCTATTATAGCTGCAAAGGGTGGACTGACATCATATTGAACCCTATGGATTAGGAATGGGAGGTCACTTACAGTAAGTTCATATGCGAGTAAAGGCAGGTGAGCGAATACTTTTGGCAATATAGTGTATATGGGCTAGAAAGAGTGCAGGCATAAAGGAAGTACAGATTGTCCTTGATTTAGAACACTTCATTAAGTTAGAAGAGTACTGAAAAAAGTGACGTACAACTGTTTTTCACAGTAACAACCTTTGTAGCACACACACACACCCACACACCCATGGTAACGTGATCAAATTCAGATGTTTGGCAACTGGTTCATATTTATGACTGTTGCATCATCCCGGGGTCATGTGATCCTCTGTTGCAACCTTTTGGAGAGCAAAGTCAATGGGAAAAACAGATTCACTTAACCATCATGTTACTAACAATGGCAGTGGTTCACTTAACCACTATGGCAAGAAATGTCGTAAAATGTGACAAAACTCACTTAACAAATGTCTCACGTTACAGCAGAAATGTTGGTCTCAATTGTGGACATACATACAGCGCTACCTGTATTTATATTTCTTTGGTGTCCTATCCCAACCTTCTAAAAGTTTTTCACCAGTTCAAATGGCGCCTATCTGGCCATCTTTCAGAAAGACAGAATTTGTCCAAGGTCTGCTGAAACCCTAACGAATCTTGTTTAATAAATAAAATTAAGTGCCCTTTAAAGATGTGCAGTCATAATAAATTGTAGAAAAGCAATTTCTAAAATAATGTGTTTTTAAATATATATATAACTTAAATACTAGTTATTTAAATAGGACACAACTAGTGGCGATCCGCTTTGTCTCTATTTTTATTGTTTGGAAAGCAATGGAAAATGTCATACTTGTATTTAAGCCACAGGCCTCTGGGTTGGAAACAGATCCAAATATAACTTTTAGACAAATTTTACAAAATATTGCTTAAACAATCACCACTTTTTAACAAAAGATTAGAATTGTAACAAGTGTTCTTCAGATGCAAATAAAATGAGATATTAGGCTTGTATATGAAACTGGCATAAAACACAAACTATTGTTAATGAGTTATTTTTAGCTATTTTTGTACATACTGGTATAAGCAATGCAGTAGAAAAATTAAACCCTTTTTATCTCTTGCAGATTGCAGAAGGGATGGCATACATTGAAAGAAAAAATTACATACATCGGGATCTTAGAGCTGCAAATGTTTTAGTTTCGGATGCGCTTATGTGTAAAATTGCTGATTTTGGCCTTGCAAGAGTAATTGAAGATAATGAATACACAGCCAGGGAAGGTTGGTACTGTTTTTTAATTTTAATATATTCAATGATGGAGTGGGCTTTTTTCCAGGGGTCACTTAGATGTTTCTAATCAGTAAATTGTAATAAATGGAACTTTTAATATATTTAATGTATTAAATTTAATATCTTGAATAATGTGTTATTTTCCATAGGACAAACAATCCAGTGGGGAGGGGATTTGGGGAGACATATAATGTATTTCTCTCGAAGTGAGATTTGGGCAGCAACTTGGAATTTTGGCAATTTCTCCATTCTAAGGCTCCCTTCCTCCTTGTTGCACAATTTGGAGCAGAGAGTATATACCTGGTATGGCGAACCTAAGGCATGTGTGCCACAGGTGGCACGTGGAACCATTTGTCAGGGCACGCGAGGCATTGCCCTGTCAACTGGCCAGCAAGCATGAGTTCAGCCTTTTTTTAAGCCATTTTTCGTCGTCCCCAGGCTCCAGAGGCTTTATAGGAGCCTGGGGAGGGTGGAAACAGCCCCCTCCCCCCGAGGCCCTCCAGAGGTTTCAGGAGCTTGCCTGAAGGCTCCGGAGCGTAAAACCCCAGCCCTATAGGCAAACCAGAAGTTCAGGAATGGACTTCCGGTTTGCTCGTAGGGTTAGTTTAAGCACTCCGGAGCCTTCAGGGAAGCCTCCTGAAGGTCCCTGAAGGCTCTGGAGGGCCTCCGATAGGGCGGGGGAGGCTTTTTTTTGCCCTTCCCAGACTCCTACTATGCTTCTGGAGCCTGGGGAGGGCAAAAAAAGCATGCAAAAAATGGGAGGAGCACCTGTCATGCGCACATGCACACTGGGGGGGGGTTGTGCATTGCATTATGAGTGCGGCATACCCACGCATGACCCCCTATGCTCCCCAGCTTATGGCATGCGAGCCAAACCTGAACTTCCTGTGTCATAGTCACACAAATGGAGGAAGTAGATTGCTTCATTACCCAGAAACCAATATGGAGACTTTCTATGACCACTCTTGGAAAAGGGGTAGAAAGAATTCCAGAAGGCATGATCTGCATGTTTTCCCTACTTGTTCTCTGTTCATGAAGGATAATTATGGTAAGGCAGGGGATGAGGAAGAAAATAAGTTTTCATGTTTTCCTAGAAGACATTACCCCATCACTTCACAATCCTTTCCAATTTCTTAACTACCTTTAACTTTTTAATGTCTAGATTTTAGATGGAATTATTCTTACTTCCATAGGTGCAAAGTTTCCTATCAAATGGACAGCACCAGAAGCCATTAACTATGGTTCTTTTACTATTAAATCAGATGTGTGGTCCTTTGGCGTTCTTCTGTATGAAATAATTACTTTTGGAAAAATTCCTTATCCAGGTTTGTGCTTCTTCCCATGTATTGTTCTGTTTTCTTTCTACTATATATAAAAGGTATGCATTGAACATAATTATTTTGTGAAACGTAAAAGAAGAAGTAGGAGGAAGCAGTGGCTCAGCAGTTCGAATCCCTAGTGCTGCGTAACGGAGTGAACTTCCACTACTTGTTTACCAGCTTCTGCCAACCTAGCAGTTCGAAAGCATGTAAAAATGCAAGTAGAAAAATAGGGACCACCTTTGATGGGAATAACAGCGTTCCATGCGTCTTCAGCGTTTAGTTGTACTGGGCACATGACCATGGAGATCTCTTCAGACAGCGCTGGCTCTTTGGCTTTGAAATGGAGATGAGCACCGCCCCCTAGAGTCAGGAACAACTAGCACATATGTGCAAGGGGAACCTTTACCTTTACATTTTAAAAAAAGTTGCTAGGAAAGTATGGCTGCAACTACATCAGATGGAACGATGTTTTATTATCCAAGCCATAATAAAGCACCAGTACAGCACGCAATTAAGTAACTAAAATTCAACAACTTAGGCTGCTTCACTAGTTCCATCTTTTCCTAGACAATGAAAATGTAAATCTGATTATTCTTGCATAATTGGATAAATTGCTCCTATTGTTGTGGGCAAAGGTGGAAATGTTTGCTTTGGCCCATTATTGCCATTGCTGAACTGGAGAACCAATTGCAATACTCGGAGGCCAAAACAATTGAGGCTTGGTCCTCCTCTTCATTCCCAGGTTACCAGGAGCATTTCAACCTTGTTAACTGAGTATACAATTGAAATACTTTTTCTTCAAAGCTTAGAAATATGAGAACCAGATTAGGCTTTTGGAAAACAACATGCCCCTTTTTGCGTTTTGAGGTTTTTATGATTTTCACAAATAATTTATTTAGGTTAAAGAAATTTATCTAAATATTGCACTTTTCCAGGAAGCAAATCCTGCCCCTTTTATGAATAAAATAGATATAAGCATGTTTTATGTTAGAAATGTATCTTTTCCTTTTCTAAATCAGCTCTTCTCATTTTGATATAAGACCAACCATATTAAAAATAACTTTTACTTTTTAAAAAAATTGTTTCAGGTATGAGTAATTCTGATGTAATGGCAGCCCTTCAACGTGGTTATCGCATGCCATGCATGGAATCTTGCCCTTCTGAGCTTTATGACATTATGAAAACATGCTGGAAAGATAAAGCAGAAGAGAGACCAACATTTGAATATTTACAGAGTGTCCTTGATGATTTCTACACAGCTACTGAAGGACAATATCAGCAGCAACCGTAGGGGGGGGGGAAGAATTGTTGCTCTTATTTCCAAATGGAAGGAACTTTTTAAGAAGACAATGTGATTGAGCCAATTCTTTTATACTTACAAACATATGTGTGTTGAAATACCCTAATTGTTTGTGGAACCCAAAATTGAAAGTTAGAGCTCAAGTGGGTAAGACAGATTATCAACATCTTGCTGAAGACTTGAAAGTTTGTTTTCTTCTTCACTGATGCTTTCTTTGTATTTATATTAAGTAAACAACTAGCTGAAATGAATTATGATATAATAGAAGATCATCTTCTGTATAAAATCCTGGTGCAAAATCAAAACTCCATGAAGTCAAGCAACAGCTACTCCAAATATCCTTGTGCAACATGCATCTGGGGAAAAATATTAGTCTGTTTTACAGCTGAGCTAGAAGTTATATGAAGTGCTGCATTTTGTTTACTGAAAATCTGCCAAAGATCTGAGGGAATCCCTTTATCTTTTTACCATTTCTTTGCAAAAAAAGTTTTTGTAAAAATCTATTCTATAAGCATGGCTGAAAATTTCCCTTTAAAGATATCCTTCAAAAATGGATCATATAAAATATGCTGGAATTGAGAAGAAAATGATATCACTTTAGAATAATCTTTTGTGGTTTTCTGGAATTCAATAGCTATTTCCCATTCCAGAATTTTTCCCACTCTGTTTATGTCATTTTATTAACTGTGTTTAGGGAAAAAGCCAACTGAAATGTGTAGCTTTAAGTTGCATATTGCAACTAAAAGAAGTATGTTTTGGCACACATAAATTATATGGTGAAAAATAATTGAATACATTTAGAAGCAAGAATCCTAGAACACAACTCATATTAAACAATATGGTAGTCTTTCAAAGAGAATTCACAATAGTGTGCATCAGGATTTTAGTAATTCTACCCATCCACTCAGATACACACACACACACACACACACACACACACACCCACACACCCTTTATTATATATGAGGAGGACAATGTTTTGGGTGAATCTTCTGAAATGCTTTCCACCATTCCATTATTATTGGAACACAATGATTAAACCTATGCTCAGTAGTGCTGGTCAATACTGTTATATACTTTTAATGAAGAAATTTATTTTGTAGACTGAGTAATCAGACTGTCAACTTGTAAATATAATTTCAATGTTTTTGTGATTTTAATAAATAAGCATTATTGAAAATCTGAACCAATACAAGGTCAATTTCTTATTCCTTATTACAGTAATGGACAGCTTCTTTAACAAATTAATTCTCCTGGATTTACATATCTGTTCCAGAATATGATTCATTATAGTGGAGTTTGAGTACATAAAATAGATGTCCTAGCTAGCTAGTCAGTGATAAAGGATGCTAGAAATGCAATATCTGGAATACCACAAGTTTCCATTTTTCCTGTAATGTATGTAGCTTCTTTGAATCCTTATACGATATTTTCAGTTACATCTATTTATTAAATTATAAAATAAATATTTCCATAAAATGTTTTTTCTAGCTCTTATAGTACTTGTTCCTTTCCTTGGAATTTTTAAAATACATTCTACTATGGGCAATAAATACAGATTTTTCTAGAAACCAATTTGGATTTTTGACAAATAATAACTGCATAGAATGAAAGCATCTCACTCAACATACCCATGTACTTCTGACAGCTTAACCTCTGCAAAATATCTCTTCTTTTACTAATTAAATATATAAAGTTATGCAAATTTAATGTATTGGGAATTCCATATGTTTTTTGCACTTATATGGGAAGGAAAACATTACAGATGATGAACATGTACAAAAGAAAGATAGTTTATTGGTGTCAAACAATTAGTCATAGTATCAAAATATAAACAATATATCAATTATTAAAATTGTTGTCCTGGCTGAATTCCTGGGGAGCAAAAGAGCAGAGGTAAGCTTTCTACACATTTTCACAATGCTTATAAGCCTAAAGTATGTGAACGTCAAGATCTAAATATTAATGCACTGTTGCAACAATTAAAAAAATAAGTTTACAAATGAGGAAAACGGAATGAAAGAATTTAAAACAAGCCATAGCATTCTTAATGTAAATATTATTTAGCATGCTTCCCTCATCTAATGTCTACAAGATCTGTTGGTAGCTCTTCCTGACACCACAACAAATTCTGTGGGTTGTAATCCCACCATCAGGAAGATGGCAAATGTAGCACCAAGATAAAAATTGCAATTTATTTCAAATGAACTCTTTTATGCCAATATTACCATGAACAAAATACAGGACATTTTTTTCCCTTTCAGATTAAATTTATATCCCTATGGTTTCCAATTTTATAAATTTTGGTCCAGTATGCCTTGATTAGTATTGTTATTTCATTTTATGTGCCACTGACATCAATCTGAGTGATGCAGAAAGTGAGTTTTCAGGTTTTTGTAGATTTTACTTGGAACATCTGTTACTAATGATTAAGGCTTGCAAAGAATCCCTTTTTGGATTTATGTTGTTTAATACTTTCTGTACTTATTGGACCTTTGCTTTCTTTTAATTCTTCTTGTAGATGAGATAATGTGGCTTCAGGTTCATGGTCACATTTATTCCTATTTTGAAAGCCAATGGTTTCCTGGTCCTATGAAAGCAAGATGTGTTTAAATAGAATTAGAACATTGTCTTTTTAATCGTACTGCCCTAGCTTCTTCTGAAACTGCACATCCTAACTGAATAGATAATTTCTTTCCCTTAAAAATATAGGGAAGAGACACTCCAACATTGCTATCTGTTCTCATTGTAGCACCTAAGTATAATATAATCAAGAGAAGCAAAATAAATAAAACTTGGGAGTGTCAATCTCATATGGTTGTTTAAGATTCTGAAAAGGTACCAAAGCCACTTCCAAAAGAATATTATTAACAACCAGGATTTATTGATATCAGAGTAACTTTAAACAGTGTGTTGCACTCTGAAATTCCATTTAATGTCTTATATTGGGGTTGCTTGGATAGTGAGATGGCAGGCTTATTCAATTAATAAGTAAAATTGTAAGTGGTCTTTAACAACCACTCACTCAGTGTCTGTTCAAACTTAAAAATGATTCTGTATGACTGGCAGTTATGACTAGGTTTTGTACTTATGGACATCACAGCATAAATCGTGGTTGTGATTTATGACTTTTTGACAGCTTTCCACAAGAAAAATCAAAGGAGAAGCTGGCAAAAGTTGGAAGTTGCAGTCACATGAAGATAAGGTTCTCACTTAACAACCCACACAGTCCTTGCTTAAGAATGGCAACCAGGACTGGAACTTCTGGCCCTAAGTGAAGCAGTCATGTATTTTGGGACTTCCAATCCTGTCATTTAAAAATGAAGTCTCAATTAGCATTGTTAATCAAGAATTACCTGTATTCACAATTACTTTTTAACTGAGAAAGCAAAATAACAGTGAAGAAACTAAAATGATTTTAAATAAGGCCAAAAGCTTTCCAGCTTTTGGAAAGCATATCTTGGTATATTATTTTGAGTCTTGCAGCAGAACACATAGCTCTAAATACATATTAAACAGATATGTGACCAACCTTAAGACTTATCATCTGCTTTAATGTAGTGTTCTCCTCAACTATTTTTCTATATTCTTCTTTGGTATCTTGCAACATTTCGTATAACTTATGAATTTTCCATTTCAATGATTTTATTAACTGCAAAACGAAGTGTTTGAAAGTATGGAGAATGATGCTATCATCAACTGCCAACTTATGGTCTTTCATCATGCTACATGAAACTATTAAATGATTTATAAAATCTGGATATGTTAGAAATATAACATTCTAATATGTTGGAATCATATGCAATCCACCAGGAAAAAAGCCAGTTGGAAAAGGAAATTTACAGTTCTTTAGTTAAGAATTTTAGTTAAAACTTACTTCAAAAGATACATTTGATGTTGAGTTGGCCACGGCCACCCCTACACCATCCTCCTGAGGTCAAACCCAACCCTGATGTGGCCCTCAATGAAATCAAGTTTGATACCTTTGATCTTAAACCAACAATTAGTTTTGTGATTGAAGCTGGAGCTTCAATGAATAGCAAAAGTATAATATGTAAAGTCTATGTGCAGTGAGCCAATTCACTTCATCCTCACACCAAACAACACTAGAAAGGTTGCTGTCATGCACTGGGCCAAGATCCATAGTTAATTTTACACACCCTTGCAATCATTTCATATGTTCATGAAACATTCAATGTTCAAGGTGACTTGTCTTATCTTTCAAGATATGGAAATGTGTTTAATAATACTAAAATTACACTGAAATTGTGTTTTTAAATATTTTTTATCAGAACTATGTATCAATTTAATTGTTTTTCTATTTTTTCTTTTCAATATTTTTACAATTGCATGTTATATTTTAATCCATATAGAGAATGATTATGATAATGCACATTTTAAATTCCAAATTATTATTTATAATAAACAACAAAGTTACCTCATCTCTCTCTTTACACGGCTTCTGTAAAGCACCTGAAGTTTCTTCCATCTTTCTGCATTGAACATCTATGAACACCAAACAAAAGGATAAGAATACTGGCCCACATTCTAAAATGTAGACAAGCTTAGGACACAGACTTCTTACCTAGATTCATCTTCCATGCTGTAGAGTCTGAACAGGGAATTTCCGAAGGCAGGTTATTTTGTTCTCCAAGTTTTAGTTTCAGCTCTAGTATTTTCATATCTCTTTCCTGAGCAATAATATTCTATAATAGTTTAGGGCTTCATACAAATCACAGAGTTTTAGAATTATTTTGAATGTTGGTTTAACATGATTCTTTTTTGTCCTTCATCCAAATTTTATGGATTTAAATGATAATTCAAAGTTATTTCCTTAATCAAAATGTACAAAAAGCACGAAATCAAAAGGCACAAGAAACAATTTATGCTTCATGCTTGTTTTTGTTTTGACTTATCAGTATTGAATTTGTAAATAATTTTATTTCTGACGGTTTTTTTATACTTCTGCTTGTGTAAGCAGAGATTTCATGAAGTTAAGTGGCCTTGTAAACATGACAAATGTGACTAATCAACAAACAAGTCATTCAGTGTACTCTGAGATATATTTTCATGTTTTACATTTACCAACTATACTTGGGAATAGAATTTATGGAGATAGCTATACAAAAATGCCAAAATCTACAATAGGTTAAATCCAGGCGTACCTGAACCTTTTCTTGTTCAGCTATGAATTCTTCTATTGGAACATAGCGTTCTTCAACTTGGTCCATTGCACATGTATATGCGTGCTTCTTTATGGCATCTTTATACATTACAAATTTATTCTCCAGTTTCTCTTCATAACTTTCTTTCAAGTCTTCTAAGCGTTTACTGAATCAACAAGGTGCAACAACAAGAACACAGAGAACTTTTTAGCATTTAATTATTGCTATATTCAATTCCTTGATCAGTTACCTTGATTTCAACTAGTAACCATTGAGAATGATCAATATAATGCTAACTAGTTTCAGATACCAGCTTTTTGGCATTTCCTTTTACATATGAGCTTGCTCAGAACTTTACATATCTGGATCAGGGTACAGATGTAAGCTTAATACAAGAGGTGCATGTTCATATTCAACTATATTCCACTTCTCATATAATGCAACTATGAAGGAGAATATTTGTAGTTCAGGGTTGAAATGAGGGGCTTTTGTGCTTTATGAGTTTTGTTGTTTTCTTACAGACATTTTATTACCTAAACAAGGTTATCTCATCAGTGCCAGTTCAATGAGTCATAAGGACCTATAATGCATCTATCTTATTCTCCCACTAGTGAATGGAAAGAATCATCTTTATCAATCCACTTGCCTTGTCAGGCCATTTTAGCTTTGCTTCAAATACTTCATAAAGTAAAAAGAAAAATAACCTTTAAGTTAAATTCAGTTCCTGATGAATTACATAAGCAATTCATGCATCACTCTAGGCACCATACAGAAATTATTTGCCATTCCATCTTCTTTTTCTGAGCATTGGTTTGTTATTTTTTATTTCTTATTTTTTAATCTACCCAGAAAGCTTGGATTTTCCAGGTGGTTCCTCCATCCAACAAGATTTAAAGTTATTTAGCTTAGCAAAAGTTGGCTGGCTTTCATCATCAGCTATTAGAACATTATGCCTGTCAGTGTTTTTATTTAGCTAGATATTTCTTAACACTTACTGTACTGTGCGTCTGATACAGGGAAATCATAAATAACTTGGAATCACACTGCAGAAAAGATACTGTAAGACTGGTTTGACTCATTATCAAATCCATTAACAAGGGCTGTTAGTGAATTTCTCTCTCTCTCTTCCCTCCGTTGAAGATGTAAATGCCAAGAGCATGGATTCTTCAGCATCTTATGATTTATTGATCATAAAGAGGACAATACAGTATAACTAGACCAGTGTCAACCTTGACAATTTTAACTTGCATAAACTTCAACTCCCAGAATTCTCCAGCCATCCATGCTAGTTAGGAAATTCTGGGAGTTGATGTCCATACATCTTAAAGTTGCCAAGGTTGACAAATACTGAGCTACAGAGTTAAGAATTTTCTCTATTACTCTCCCTGCACTGTGTCTACGTTATTGTTAATTTGGGATCATTTTTCTCTGTCTTGTTTTCTTCCCCGGCATACATTATTGGACTCTCCCTAGCGCAGTATCTAGCTAGCTGCTCAGCATTGCTTGTCCTTGTATTTCTTGTAAACAAATATCCTTTCTGTTATAATTCTCATTTTCAGGAACTCGCTCAAACACAAAATGCTTTGCTTTCCAGTATCCACTTCTGTCTTTTGTTTAATGATACTTCCAATGAATACGAGTGTTTTCATAAACAGCAGTATTCCTTCCGATATAATATTTCATAAAACATAAATGGTGTGGGAAATGATTAGCCTTTTAAAGATCAGATCACCTTATTGATAGCTAGTTGAATAGAATATGGAAATGAAATGATGTATCAAAATTAGAAGTTCTAATCGCATAATATACGCCACAATATTACCTAAGTTTTCTGTGTATTATTGAAACATAGAAGTGTTCAAAAGACTTGGAAAGGATGTGGAGCACCCAAAAATATGTAAACAATTGCCACAAAGTTTTAATTTTAATAAAACAAAATGCAAATAAATTTTAAGCTAATTCTTTTGAAGTAACTTAGAAAGCTGCTACACAAAATTAAATAAGGTAGATCAGAGGTCTATCTTTCCTGCAGTTCATATTAATAATTGGATATCTTTTTATGCAACTGCTGATTCATTTGGCTGCCCTTAAAATGGGATAAGCAGATGACTTTTGTCAGTCCTACCAGTATAACTTCCTATGGCATACCTCCAAGCTTCTTCTGTTTCCATAAGCTGCTGAAACATTGCTTTGGCCATCTCTTTGCGTATTTGGACTTCAAGGAGTAATTTGCCCTGCCTCTCTGCAATCAGTTTATTCTTTAGCATCTCTGTGGTTTTCAAGAGATCCTATAGTACCAACATGAATCACATATAGAAACATGAAAAAAATGGAAGATATGTCATGCATGAAGAAATCAAACCTAATATTGGAAGTTCAGTAGCCAAAAGGCTTATTCTTCGACATCTCAGGTTGTGAGTACTACTAAAAATGCCCCAATGTACTTCACATATGAGCTCTATTGGTTTTAAAATGTATTCTATTAAAAACTTGGCCCAATTAAGTAAGTCATCTTTTGCTGAAATAAATGGAAAAATATTACCATTGCATTGGTAGCTGAACATATGCCTGCTATAATTGTTCATGCAGAAGTCAGAGGGTGATTTCTCAACTAAACATGTATATTACATAGCATTGTAATGCAGGAATAAAAACATACAGTGTACCAGTGACTACTTGTGTTTTACTGTAAGTTTGCAGATATTTCAGAATGAAACTGCAGGCAAGAACATAATGCTTAAATTCCTGCTGTTCTTATTTGGGTTCTGAAATTCACTAGTAGTGATGAACAATTGATTTTTTTTTAAAAAAAAATATCTTTATTCTGGATATTGAATTTCAGATGGGAGAGGAGGTCTAAATCTATCATATGCATTATGCATCCAGTCTGAATTACAAGCTTGTATAAAAGATGCATTCTTCTTCAATTATATTTGTAGTTCTGTAGACAGGTTCCCAGATATAGAAAAAAGTTTTTTAAAAAAACTCAGGTTCTTCAAAGGAATGAGGCCTAAATCAGTGACAGCAATATTATCAATCTCCTCTGCTTTTTTCTGACTTCATTTCTACTTTTACAAAGTCACTAGTAGGCCTATGACACAATCAACATGTAGCCTGAGTTTACTTATCAAAGTTTCCAGTCCTTAAACCATAGTTCTTATCTTGTCATGATTCTTTTTGCACATGCATAAGTCACATCTACTGCTTTGAGTTAGAAAAATTATGAGTTCCTTCATTTCACCATGCCATAATATGTTTGAGTCATCTGGTACATCAATTCAACCATTTTGGATTTACAAAGTATAGCTTATGGTTTACAATTACATGTTTTCCAACCAGCTATAATTTACACAACATTTTTTTGTTAAACAAAACACAATTATATTTTTCCTGAACATTCTGTATTGTAAAGAACTGGTTTTTGACTACCTCATGGCTCAGAATAGTAATATCTATTTCCTCATCTTCAGGGGAAGAGGGAATGTCAGCATAGGTAGGAAATTGCTCAATTGATATGTCATCAAAATGCACGGTAGGTTTATCTTCTCTCCTGCTATACTTCGGAGGAAAATAATCAAAGAGTTTGTGTTGAAATGTTGGAATGACCTAAAGCACACAAAACACATTATAAAATTGGTTAAAATGATAAGATCATTGTTTTAATTTAATTTTGTTGTTTGCTTACTTTCTTTGGAAAACTATCAGAGAAATTCTATTAAGGGAAAAAACTTTTAGTTCATCATCAGGAGCTAATTTAATGATGGGAGACTGGAGATTCTGCTAGTATAAAATAGATACCTCTAGCTATTGTTACTACCTCTTGCTAGGTTTTTTTAATTAGCTTTAGCACTTTCAGCAGTAAATACCCTTCACAGAATAAATCCATGTACTCTATCATTCAAAATTAAACTTTAACCACAAATGTATAATTTTCTATTCTGACACATAGGATGAAGTAATGTATGTTTCACCCTATTTGGAAATTGGACAGGCAATCTAAGACTTGAGGGAACTGGACCTCAACATTTGAGAATCTATAAACGTCACACCTTTATATTGGAAAAATCCCTAACAGCAGCTTCAACAATTGAATACTATTGTTCTCACACAAAAAGCAGTTCAGTGCATAGTGTGTAGTGCAGATTCATTTTAAGCATCAAAGAAGGAAGGAGTAAAGTCATCTTTTCAGTTCAAAGAAGATAAGCTGACAAAGAAAACAAATCAATCACTATGGCAAAAGTGGTAGCATAAGATATGTGATATGCTCACTGTATTGTGAAGGACATAGCATCTTTCTTACTTGTTTTGCTACAGCAGAAAACTTCATTACATGAAGTGTTTCATCATATGTGGAAGCACATTGACTAACGTTGACAATCATGCAGGCTTTGCCTTTACCACAGAAGAATGGTTGGAAGAGGCGCGTCAGTTTACTCTCTCGGAAAGGAATATAACTTGGCCTTAATCTTGGAGAAAAAATTATATAAATGTTAATTTCAGAATCAGGATAATTTGCAAAATCCAAGAATGTAAAGGTCAGAGAAAAAGAGTGGATAAAAATTTTTTGTATAGCAATTAAAAAGTGTGGTCTTTGAGAAATGATCCTGGCAAACATAACAATTTTTTGTTACTTGCTGCAGTAAACATTGTGTCATGCTACGATTACAGATTATTTTAAAAGAAACCATAAATACCCTTTCATACTATTAGAAGTTATTAATGTATTAAAGCACAACAAACAATGTTCTTTCTGAGCCAACTCAGAAAGCTCAAACTGCCCAAGGAGCTGCTGATACAGTTCTACAAAGGAATTATTGAGACTGTCATCTGCACCTCCATAACTGTTTTGGTTTGGTTCTGCAACCCAACAAGACAGACACAGACTTCAAAGGATAATTAGAACTTCAAAAAAAACAAAAACCAATTATTACCAACCTGACTTCCATTGAGGATCTATATGAGTCTAAAATTAGGCTGTGAAAATATTTATGACCCCTCACATATTTAAGACCCCTCTGGACATAAACTGTTTTAACTGCTACCCTCAAAACGACACTATAGGGCACTGCACACCAGAACAACTAGACATAAGAACTGTTTTTTCCAAATGCCATCACTCTGCTAAACAAATAAATTAACACTAAATTAAATAGTTTTGATAGTTTAACACTGTTAAACTATTTACTAAGTCTG